AGACCTAGAACCCATCATTTTCTAGTGAATTGGTCTGGCTGGATACCCCACCTTTCCATGTCTGGCCAGAGTGCCAGAAATGGAATGGTAGGGTATGGCAGTGTCTGAGGATTTGGGTGTACCTGGCGCTGGTCGAGACACCAAATTGCCAAAGCTACTACAAAATGAGGAACCCCAATAGAAAATGAGGATCACGGTGGGATCAAGAAAACAAGGTGATGTCTAGAAAAAGATCCTGCCAGCATGCCTATGAGACCTGTGATCCTCATTTTCTAGTGACCTACATATCACTAGAAAATGCCATACCTGACCCCTTCCCGGTGAGTTTACCTCCTTGAAACTAAAGAATGCCCGTTTTCTACACACGTCAACCCGTCCCATTTTCTAGTCCGAATATCATGGGGGATCTTGGTTGCCTGTATCACATTGCCATCTGGCCCAAACATTTGGAAACATGATATGTAGTATAATGCTTCGGACTATTGCAAAAGTTTCATGAAATACAGAGGCCCAAACGGAGTCGGCTGCCACAGCCAAACCTGCACAGCTCAAGAAAAAGGCATAGCCGCCAAGAGCATGCAGGACTTGACAATTGATCTTGATCCTATATAGAGTTTCTCCTCTGGGTGTTCTCTCTTTCATGGCCTTCCGGCATGCAATCTTCAAGTTCCAAACTGCCACGGATACTTAGCTTTAGGTTTGGCTTGGACTTGACTGCCCTCCACTAGTACAATCAAGAATACTTGAATGGTTTGTAAAGAACAAAGTTGCTGCGAACCTCGCGGATTGGTCCTTCATTGCCCAAACCGCCTAACCTCAGAAGTGGCCAGAACATTCACAGCTCAGAATGTTAAAGACATTGATTATTTCAACTTTGCAGTTGTATTTCCTGAGCTTCAGCTGGGGAGTTCGAGGGACTCTGCAAGCGGTCCCCCCACTGGGAAAACAAGGAGTTTCCTCTTCAAACGAGTGTTTTTTGGTTGGTGAGTCTGAGAGTAACCCTCGATGTCATTTGACTACATTCACTCCGCTTCGCTTGTTGTAGGAAGGGCATGGAATGGCACCAAATCTCCCAAACCATCCCAAACCCTTTAGCAAAAGAATTGTTTTGGGATCCACGGCCAGGCCCTGGACCACACGCCTAAAGAAAGTGCCCAGAAGTGCAGCAACGCTCGTACTGGAACACTGTGCTTCCTTGTTCTGCCCCGCTACATGGGCAAAATGGCAAAGCATGGCAAAGCAGTTCGCTTGCAACTTTGGCGGCCAAACATCAGGACGGCTCCATCACTCAAGCCTGGGCACTGCAATCCAGAGCATGCAACGATGCTTGTTCATGCCTCAAGTTAGACATCTAGAATCTAGATTCTAGAACCCTTTTGCAAGTACAAACGAGTAGTAGTGGAAGGAAGTCAGGAAACAAGGATTGCTGATCCTTGACACATCGCATCTTTCAAGCATGATGAGACATATGAGACCAATTTACCAAAGGCGAGTGAGGTGATACCGTCGATTTGGTGCGCACACCCGTCCCATTGCAAGCTCCCAATGCTCATGTTTTGCGTCATCGCGCTCTATGCTTCATTTGGTTCCCCCCTTCTCCCAAATTGCAGGTCTGCCATGTGCAACGCTTGTGTTGCTATCATGCACCTGCCATCAGCCTCATTTCTAATTGCCCGCTTCCTGGTCGGAAGTCCAAAGGGTGAGATTGTCTCGCAAAAGCTGCATGATCAGTGTGGAGTCCTTGTAGGAGTCCTCTGCAACATTGTCAAGTTCTGCAATTGCATCTTCGAAGGCGGTGCGGGCCATTTTGCATGCTTCATCCGGGTCATTCAGCACCTCGTACATGAAAACAGAGTAGTTCAAGGCCAAGCCAAGGCGAATTGGGTGCGTCACCAAGAGATCCTTCTTTGCCACCTCCGCAGCCTCTGCGTAGGCCTTTCGCGCCTCCTCTGCGGCCTTGCTCTTCTCATCACCGCTCCGGAACTCCGCGATGTAACCTCCGGAAGTCCGAACTTTGCCACTCCGGAACTCCGAGAGACACAAACTTGAGTGTAAGAACATACACATTCCATCACATTCCCCCTAGTTTGGTTGTAGCCAGGATGGCATGTCATGTTACATAATATTACATGATGCTATGCAAATACAACTACACAAAATGCTTTACCATCCTTTACCATGTTTCACCGAGACACGATAGTAGTCAGCTTTCCTCACTTGTCAAAAAGAAAAAGCAAAAACGTGATAACTGGTCGAACTGTCGAGACTCTGATAAAGCATGAAACAAAATCAGAAGAATACGCATGCAGCATGCATTACAATATCTTCAACAAGGATTGACAAGGATCATCTTTTGGTAAAAGACCTTGGATTCTGCTTGTGAGGCCTTTGGGATGAGCCCCTGATCCAGGAGCTTCAGGATGGTGTCGCAAATCTTCTGCAACTCATTTTCCACCTTGACCCGGTAGTCTTTTGCATAGCCCGCCTGCGTCTCATTGCCTTTCGATTTCTCCTTCAAGGGGGGCCCTAACATGTCCGAACCGCAACTGGCACAAAATCAAACAATTCCACACTAACTACACAAAAACTCGTGCAGTGGTCATCTACTTTGTGATTGCTCGGGGGCATTCTGTCCTTCTGCTCGACACTGGAAATGATGCGCCACGCAGCGCGGCGGGATCCCACCGTGTTCTTGTAGGCCACCGACAGGAGGTTGCGCTCTTCAACAGACAGCTCTGAGCCATCATCTCCAACAGCTTTCATGTAGTCGGCCATTTCGTCATACCTGCGACAAATGAAAATGTAGGCAGGGCACCCTCTTCACGGCCGGGAAATACATGTTTGCCTGCTTCTTTAGTATTGAACAAGTTGTCGACAAGTTGCAAACCGAAGACCACATTCGTACCCTCCTTCCGTGAGACACTCCGTGAGACCACGGTACATTAAGTGCAAATGCCAGATGTTCATCGAAATTGTTCACCACCTTTCCAAGCACTAAACGCTTCCGAACTGGGAACAGAGTCAGTAACTTGTGCACCCACCCCTCACGGATATATATATATATATTAAACAATATTTGATTATTTAATCTATTTTATGTTCTATATATAGTATAACTCTCACTCTCTGTCTGCTCTTCGCTCGTGCGCGAGGAGTCTGCGACTCAGGAGCTTTTTGGTCTTGCAGGTACGGTATAGAGGGCAAGACAAACAACGGTACTGATTCGCATGCGGTTGTGAAAGCTGCCATCCCTGCCTCTCAGCCTGCTCAGCGAGCTTTGCGAAGTACACATCCTTGTCGCGAGGCATGCCTATTTGCTTTCAAGAGACTCGGGCACAACTCACAAACGCACAGATTTCTCTGCAAGCTTGAGCCGGTATGAGCCGGTGATGCATGTGATAGAGTTCTTACAGGCTCGATACCTTCTGATCAACTCAGGAGTTCAAGTCAATTGCTTCGCAAAGTAGCTGTTGCAGCTATATTTTAGGTAATCCAAAACAAGAATGCTCGTATATATTTCTAGAAGATCAGGCTAGAGGTAGATCTTCCTGCGTCTGTTTCGCTTCGCAACTCAAACGTATTGAGGGCATCGCTACTAGTAACAAGGGCATCGCTACTAGTAGCTATCTTGATCTATCTTGCTACTAATAGTGCAGCCCTTGTTACTAGTAGCGATGCACTTGTTACTCCTTGAAAACATCCGCTTCCAATAATGTCCACCCACATGCTGGAGGCGCCTACGCTTCCAACACGTGATCTTCGCGACCAGGGCGGGCTAGTCATGGGATCCCACCTTGATCGTCACAAATGGCTTGATTTGCTTGAGCATCTTCATCAGTTTGTAGAATCCTGTCTGTCTACCATGAGACTGCGGCTGTGTCACACACTGGCTGGTGTCCACGGTCACCTCTCAAGAATGCTGAACATCTTGCAAGACCTGTATTGTCCACTCTTGCACTGCGAGAGATTGCTTGATATAGTGCATTTGTCAATCAAAACCGAGTGCAACTACTACACATCCACAGCTTTGATCTATGAACCTGAACAATATTGAAAGGAGAAGGGAAGGAATTGAATTGCTGCGAGATCTGGGCTCTTGCCTCACCATAGTTGCAGTACATGATGTAGGTGTTGCGAAACAATGGGTTCCTCAGCACCGGTTGGGCCGAATCTCGGCATACCAGTGTGGCCAGGACCTACCAAAGCTACCAGTAGGGCACCATTCATTCTAGGAAAGAATGGGAATTGGAATTTCTACACCAACCGTCCGGGCTGCATCATTGTTGTTGCAGCCGGTCCCTATTCCATGGTACTGCTCCCTTCACTTCTGCAAGGCATCTTCTTCCTTCATATGCTTCGAGGATCTCGAGTGTTCCAATCCTCTCTCGTAGTTTCTTTCGTTTCCTTGCTGCGGCCCCCTACAAGTTCCGGCAAAAGCGGAGCTCTTGTCCACCGCTGGCCTAGGTCTCTCTGCGTTGAATGTGAAGCGCCATAGTCATGGTTTTAATCTTCCTTTCATGTCATTGTTGTCCGAGACAGTGTCTAGGAGCAGCCCAGGCTTCTGGCGATGGTCTGCAATGGGGAGGCACTCACAGAATATTCACCCAACCGCACGGTGATAGACTGCTCGGGCTGGCATCGCCTCAGAGAGTGGCATCTGGAGTGGAGCCAATCTTGAAAAGTGCGAAGCTCGCGCAGCGTCCTACCACAAGGAAACAAACTTCTTATATCATCTATCTATCTATCTGTCTGTCTATCTATCTATCTATGATTTTCCTTATGCTATGTATGCCTACGTGCTAGTAGCATCTAAAATATGATGCGCAGGCATGCAGCTGGCCAGCCTTGGTGTGCACCCTTCGGCAGTCACGTTCAGACTGCCCTCGTCGCAGGTGATGACGATCATGCCTCCAGCAAGCATCCGTGTGGGTTCATTGAGGATTGTTCATCAAACACTTTAAGTTGTATGTTACATAACCATAGATCAGCATGGAAGAGACGTGCTAGGAGTGGGTGGGCACCCCTCCCGACAAAGGGCTTCCCCAACATTCAAAGTTAGATCAAATGCCTTGATCGAGAAGTTCTGTGCAAATGACGTGTTTGGCACGATAACGATAAGCATAGATCATGATCAAAAACACCAGGCCGCAACCTGCCTTCGTAGCCAAAGGTCACAATTGCACAATCTCGCTCCTGACAAGACTGGATGTGGGAAGACTTGTGGTAGAGAAACGTTTGTAGTCTACCGATGTTCTGGGATGCTTTGGAAACGTGCTCAGCAGGTTGTGATGGAGTCCAATGCAGGGGCCACCATGGGGCCTTAGTTAAACACCATCAAATAAACACTCTTGGCATATGTGTTCTCCAAACATGCACGCAGCAAAACCCTCTGCTGTGTTTCCACATAGCTTTCTGTAGCCGTGCAAGGATGCAAGTGCTGCAAGAGCGCACGTGACGGCTTTGCACCCACCGTGGAACTCATCTCCCCTTCCCTCCTCCACTTCCAAGTGAAGAATGGTCCGACTGGGCCCGATCAGAGCTTGAACATCACCCACCTCCGTTGCGATGCCGGTCCACGGTACTGCTAGAGTATCCTCAAACCGGCCGTAACAACGCAAAAGGAAAGGCATATTCATTCAATGAATCGTTTCAAGTGGCGGTCTGAAAATGCCTCTTGACCTCCCAAAACTACCACCGGTCTATCGAAGTGCACAGTTCCCCCAGCAACGTTGTGTTTTGTACAATGCACGTGCCTGGTGCATGTCATAAAGAGGCGGCAGCTTCTTCATTCGTCACGCAACAATATTGAAAGTAAAATTGTTTTTATGTTCATGGATTTCCCTCCTACCGGCCCATTCGTCGCATGCCACCTGCACATCTGCCGCCAATGTCGGTTCTGGGCAGGTTCAGGGTAGACTTGCTAGCCGCTAGCCGAACTCACAAAAATCAACATAAATAAATAAACAAATAAATAAATGTATATATATATATTTATGTATACACATACAGTACAAGCCAGTTGCCGGTAGAAAAGGTCTAGATTAAGTTAGTTCACTTCACTGCCCGACATATTGAAACTCTCAAAGTTTGCTTTGAATCATTGACCTGCCTCCGGCCAACCACTGAGAAACATATTAGCAAATGTATTGGTGTGCGTAACTTGCTAGAGTTATAGAAAGATATACTGTAGAAAGGGAAGTTGGCAGGTGCCTGTTTGGATTGTTATAAAACATGTTTGTCTCCAAACTGTGAGTGTTGCAGCCAATAGTCTTGCCCCATCTCAAGTGTCAAAAAACATAAATTCCTTTATATATACAACAATGTAAACACCCGATGAACGATCCCCCGTCCTGCTAGTTTGGTCTGCCTTGTTCCTGCAATATTAACCACCTTTCAACAGCCTAGTTTTGGTTTCCGCTTTGTGAAAAGAACTACGTAGTCGTATGGCCTCTCCTCATGAAGATTTAGCTTTTGGGATCGCATGATTGCCCCCCACCGACCCCTAATGAATAAGCCTCCCCCACTGCCTCCCCCTTCTCAATGTTTCTGCTCTTCAAGAATTTTGCCCACCCCCACCTAAATACACAAATAGCAGATCTTCTAGGGGTGACTGGGAGGCCTTTACGTTGTCCATGTCCAAAGCCGCTAGAAAAAGAACCGGTGATACATCCCTACACAAAGTCCTTTTTTCCCGCAAGCACCTGCATCAGCATCAGCATCAGCATCAGCATCATCATCATCATCATCATCATCACCATCACCATCATCATCAAAATGCAGAGATGCAGGTGATGCAAGTGCGTTAACATATCTACATAGATACAGTTTGAAATATATAATACAGGTGACCTACACAACTACATTTTTCAATTGTTCATAATTTTTCTCTTAAAAGGCCGGGGTGGCCCGCGCGATGCTCATGAAACGCGCCCCTTTGCCTACATTGCGCGTGTCCGACCCAGTAAACTGCGGTTAGATGCAAAAAATGTCTTGGCCGTGGGACGAATCTCTGCGGGGATCGTTACGCATCGAGCGCTGAAACGTGAAGTGAATGCGAATTTGTGTTGTCCTTGTGGGGTCCTTGGTGTGCGCTATAAGTTGCGACGATCATGCACATCGAGTCGAGTGTTCAAAAGTGAAACGCATGAAATGCGACTTTATGATCTTTGTGGATCTTTGTGGTGAGCTTGGTAAATTTGCGGGGTCGCGCCTGAGGTGGCATGTCGAATTTGTGGTCCTGTGGAAGGCGCCAACGTGTGCAACTGCCATCGAAAACCAGAGTGTGCAACTGTCATCAAAAATCAGGTGGAAGTTGTCGAAGTGTGTCACCGTCGCCGAAAGGCAAAGTGGAGGTGCCAAACAACAACTGTCGTGCAAAATCAAGGTGCACACTGCCTTGTCGGAAGTGCATAACTGTCATCGAACATCAAGGAAGTATACAAATATTCAAGTAGCGGCTGGGAGCTCGGGCTCAAAACTTGCAACGTGGCAGTTGCAACTGGCAACTTTGTAGCGCAACTGCGGCAGTGCAAGAAGTAGGTTGTGGGAGCTCGCCTCAGAATTGAAAATGTAGTAATTACGGCAAACGGCTGCTTGGAGGTCTGCAGCGCTTCATGAAGCATGTGGCACACAGTGACGTCTGCAGCGTCTCTGTGCCATGTGGTTTTCTGCAAGAAAGTCCGTTTGCGTGGCTCCGTGCCATTCGGGAAAGGGAAACAGGCGTCGCGCTGCTTTGCTGCGTCAACGGGCCTCGTTGACGTGATTGGCGGTGTCAACGAGGCTTGGTGCTGTTACATTAATTGTGGTATCTAGTCTGGCACACTGTGTGGGGAAAATGCGACTGTGATGTCGCTGTTCCGTGCGGCTTGGCACGGCCTCGGCGGAAAGTGCCTCTTCATTGGCTCCGTGCCATTGGGGAACGGGAAACATACGTGTGTAAACGCGGTGTGTCGCTGGTGAGCGGATGTGAGCGGGATGTTTTCTGAATTCTGGTGGCAGCGAGGCTTGGTGTTATATACATTGTTGTATCTAGCGTGTGGCACTCAGTGTGTGGACATGACGTCTGTGATGTCGCTGTGCCACGCAGTTTTTTGTGCGGCCTCGGTGGAAATGCGACATGCGTGTGTAAACGCGGCACGTCGCTAGTGAGCAGGATCATTGGCGGTGTCAACAAGTCTTGGTGTGGGGTGCACGGTGCACGGTGTAGTGAAGTGACATTTGTGATGTCGCGGTCTGTGCCGCGGCTTTGCGTGGCATAGCGTGTGCACTCAGAAGTTTGCCCGTATTATGAGCGGCACTGCTGACTGACTACTTTCAATTGGTCACATCTCCTGCGTGCTCAGTGTGCAAACAAAAGTGTCCGCAGCGCACTGCGAAGATCCTTTCAATGACTGCGGTAAGTCCCACAAAAGCGGTGCAAAAGGTCGTGCTACTGTGCGCATTGCAGTGCACCCATGGGTCCGGTCAACAATCACCTAGGCCACAGTGACCGACTGCGACTGGCTCTGACAGGATGACTAATTCTGTCTGCACCTGGCGCCCTACTCTTCTCAGTGTGCGAACAGCAGTTGTCTGCAGCACACTTCTTCCAAGACTGCGTTCGAAGAGAACGTCGTGCCGCTTGATTGGGGTACTGTATCATTCTTGGGCACCTGTGCCAATGCCTGTTTGTTTCTGTCATGCTGAATTACTATCATCATCATCTTGGTCCTCATCATCGTTACCTTCTTTCATCTTCTGCTGTGCTTGCAGGCCACACTGGCGTCCTTTTCTACTTGCTTATTACGACCTTCAGACCTTCCGTTCTATGCTTATATACTTTTGGTGGCCCCATTACGAACCCCAAATTTCTGCTTCTTGTGCCTCGAACTGTACTCGAAAACTGAGGTGGATGCTGCAAGGGACAGGAGCTGGTACTTGTCGGAAGCACGCGAACCTGGGCAAGCTTTGTCTTGCTCCCACAACCCGCTCGAATTAAGGAGAAGCAAAGAAATCCTGGATGGACAAAATGTAGATGTACCATATAGACACGTACAGCATTGAGGACAAGCTTTCTTTCTCTATGTGAGGCGAGCGTGCTATGTCCTGCAAAAAAGTGAAAGAAGTCTTCAACTCTGAAGTGCTCTAATTAACTTACTGTATATAGATGTCCCGAGCTGGCCCTTGGACACCGCACCAAACTGCAAGGAAGCATTTCATGGCACCCCTTCAGGGTGAGTAGCCGCTCGGAAAGCGATGTGCCCCTGCTACATAAATGGGGTTTCTTGCTGAAACCATTTGCTGCATGTAAACTGCATGAAATGTCCTCCTCGTTCAGTCCATTCCACTGGTTGAGCTCCAACGCTTGCAATCAGTTACCGCATTTCAAGACTGTTGCTCCCCCTTGCTCCAGTACATCTCACTTTCAGCAGTTCAGGGAGCTCGTGAGCCGAATCACGACCGACAATGTTCACATGCAAGGAAAGGAAGGAGGGAAGGAAGAGCTGCTAGACAGGGTTCTCCTCTGAATTCAGCAGACATCAGTACACGCTTCAGCTAAACTTTTCTCCATCAGCATTGTCGAAGCTCCTTTGCAAACTACCTGCTGCAATCCAGCACGACCAACAAAAAACGCCGGTAAATGCCGCAACTATTTTGAAGATGTCTTGGTTAAAGCGAATCCATGCAGGACATCACAAAACACCAGTATTAGTAATTTAGTAAAGTGCCGACTGTGACAAATACATCCTTGGTGCTTCGGCAGCAGCTCCTGAATACCACTTCTCGTGGCAAGTATGCGGTAAATTCGGCACGACCCTCAGGGAGTTGCCACAGTGCTTTCCAAAGGCTTGCATCTCAAGTTCTCAAAACAAAGAAATGCTCCAGTTCCATTGGGCGGGACAATCGTGGAAGCAGCACCATGGACCAAGGCAAAGCCGTGGTGCACCAAATTCAGCACACGAGCAAGCAACTACTATGAGAGTGTGGATCAGGATGAAGTCAGCAACTACCATGGACCCCGACCCACAAATAGATACATACATATATATATACTTACTGATATATAGATATATTATAGTCTGCGCATGTCTGCGCTGGGTTGTGTCCTCAAACCTTTTCCACACACACACCGTCGTCCCAGCAACGGGAAAGCTCCTGCAGCCAGGAAGCAAAGGACAACTTCCCAGCTTGACAGCAGCTCGTGCGCAGGCACTCAGCCGGCTCTGATGTGAGATCGAACAGAAAATCATGTGAAATAGTGTGTCGCTATGTGTCGCTTGATCAGTTGACTTGATCATTGGCACATGCTTGTCCTCCTCACCCTTCTGAAAAAGTCGGATAGAATTAGTCCCTTTCCCAAAATGCCGGCCCTGTTTGAGTTCTGAGGGTTGGGGATCAGAAAATAATGTCCCTCAAGAAAAACCTGCCCAGGAAACATCAGGAAACCTGCCCCGCGGCAAAACAAGTTCTTTTCCTCAGAAAGGGTGCAGGTCATAAGCATTAAATTGCACATGGTGTGTGTGTGTGTGTGTTTTGGATGATCTCTACATGCTTCAAAAACAAATGTCATTGGATGGTGTCAATGGGGGTTCGTGTGCAAAATATCAGCCTGGCCGAGTTGTCCTTCTAAGATGGAGTCGCCAAGTACAACTCAACACCGCAACGGCTTCTGCTCCCGCACAGTCTCAGGTGGTCGAAAGTCTTTTCCAACCAACCCGAGGATCTTGCGGGCTTCATTGATCAAGGCATCTGAGAGCAGGGCCTACCCGGGCCTACATACTTCTCATCTTCCTAAGGTGTAATGTGGGCCGTGTGGCTTTTTGGTGCATGGTCACATTCTGGCCTGCATAATGTTCCTACAGCGTACTGTAATGCTAAATTGCTCCAGTTTCTTTCCTCTCTCTTTTACTGTCCCTGGTTTGCCAGTTGCAGTGCAAACCTCACAAGTCGAAAAGCTTGGCCTCGACAGTACCTTCGTTGCAACTGGCTGTTGGGAAAAACGGTAGAGATCGGAAATTCAAGTCTCGGATACGAAATGTCAAATTTTATATGTGTGGTGTGAGTGTGTGTGTGTGTGCTACAGCATGTCATCATCAGCATATATCAATATATACAGTATATATTTCTATGATTCAATGGCATTGTGGGCAACAATGCACGTCTGTCAAATCTGGAGGGAAAGCCCGGATGAAATCCTCATCCTACAAGAGCAAGTCTAATTCGCCCAAGTCTGAAAAGCACTGAAGGCATCTGGGCGACCTGACACGAGGACATCAGGAGCACTTTCAGGAGCATCACGGAGCTGGGACGACCACAACGCCTGTGTCCTGAGAGAAGAAAACACATGCGTCGACTGGTCAAAGAGATGTCTTGGAGTGATGTCTTGGAGCGACCTCGCGGGTATGGATTGTAGACATTTATGGTTATGTGTACTCTGGTGCCAATACCGATGCACCGATTAGTCCTCCTAATTATCTTCTATATGGGTGTAACTATCTTGTTTTAACCTTCCCGCGCCGTAATATTTGACTATGGGGCATATGCTTCGGGGCATGCTTCGCCAAAGTCAAATATCCCAACTCTACTAATAAACTGGGCACATTAAAAGAAATCAAGCCAATATATTATATGTCACATACCTATAAGTCTGAGTTTAAATGCTCTTCCGACTCTAGTGAGCGTGTGCCGTGTGTTTGATCCTGTCTTAAACATCTCCACTCACTCTGCGCAACACCTGTGTCTATTCTTGAACAAGTTGAATAACTGACCATTCATGGAACATCATCAATATGATCAGATTGGGTTCAATGCGCGCCATGTCGTCGGACACGGTCCGTGTCAACTCTTTTGCCACACTCTATTGCACTCCTTCCCTAGCATTATCCCAATGAGTCAGCCAAGCCTGCCGCACCAATGCTCCAGAGGGCTGGCACAATTCAACCCACCCCGAATCAAGACTTGGGAAGGTGACATGAAGCATGTTGAAGCGTCAAAGTATGGGATGCCGAAGGATGCCCACAGACTCCACTAAACACGCCCGCTGGATGCTGGATTTGAAACTCTCTGTCTCTCTTTGCCTGCCGCACTAGCACGCCGGAGCCCTGCAATGTTGCGTAGGAGCATATAAGTCTGTCTCGCAAAAATGTGGTCTCAGTCAAACGATTCAAACACCAACTCTGTGAGACAAGGTACAAAACCTTTGTGCACCTTGCTTGGGCCCTGCTTGATTCCTTGTCTGTGTGGCAGTACCACAACACATATTGCAGTGTTAAGCTTTGTAGAAACAACAGCTGGCTTTGCAACTCCTACACCGCTTGAGAAGAGTATTCATCAAGCACAGCTTTGCCCCTTCACCCGTGGCCTGTCGCATGCCCTGGCAAAATGACAGTTCTGCAAGTTGAAGCGTTGTTGAACGCCCACAGGGAGTTACATTACCCCGGGGCAAACTGACAACGCTGAAATGGACATGCTTTTTGTGTGTCAACAAGGTCGTGGAGCCATACATTGGTATTCGAAACTTGCCTCATGGGCTTGGTGGTTGCGAGAGGGAATGCTAGCAAAGCCTTTTATGTATGTTATATATGATTATATATGCATAATGTCCAGCCATGTCCAGCCATTCTATATATCTTGCCCTAAAAGCAGCTCTTGCCTGAAGTGACGGCTGCCGACTTACAGCAGGTGGCGGAATTGGATTTGAAGCGTCAGAGGCCCTCCTGGGTGCTCGCGTGAAAATTACGCCGCAGGGGTGGCCACAAAATGGGATGGATGGCATTGGATGGCAGCGTGTATGTCGCGCATAGTTACCAGCTTTACCTCGTTGTATTTTCATCCGGCCCACTGCGGGCGGTTTACTGGAACCAAAGAATTATATAAAAATAAACAAAACAACTTAAAAGCAACGACAAAACTCACAAATCATGGCAATCATCTTGAAGCTCGGGGGGCACCCCGTGAAAAGCAATGTAGCAAACAGGGTCCAATGGCATTCTTGCCACACACGTGTAGTAACAAACGTCTTGGATCTGCCTTTAAATCCTCTGATTGCAACTCGGCCATGCAAACCTTTTGCCTTGACTGTCTGTCAATTTGGTGCCAAGAAAGCTGCGAGTTCATGCCACCGGGACTGACTGGTGGCACGTCGCCATATCCTGGCCGTGTTGTGGGCGTCAGCACTTATGACCTATGATCACATAAACATGATGCTTCCACTCTAGATCCCAAATCGAACAGCTATGCTCCAACAATCGAACAGGTGTGCTCCAACAGTTGTGCTCGACAGCTGTCCAAAGCTCAACTTCAGGGTTCGTTAAGTTTCCCTGATTAGTGCCAGCGCTTCTTCGAGGAAGCTCCCCAACGCCCTTAGGCGGGGTTCCTTGAAGAAGCGTGAGCTATCCTGCGTCCAGTTACTAGAAGCGAACTAGTCGCCCTTACTTAATTAAGTAGGGAGGCAGGGCCTCAGGCAAAAAGAAGAACACACAATTTCTTGGTGGCTGCGTGGCCACGCCCAAAGGTCGCAAGGGTTGCCAGAAGGGCGAGAGTTGGCCTCGACATTGAAAATTCGCGTAAACTCCATGGACTTGGACAAACTGTTCGTGTGACGAAAGTGTCGGGAAGTGAAGTCCGAAACGAATCTGATGCACTGGTCCGATGAGGTAAAAGATTGTAAAAGCACAGGGTCAAGCAAATTCAAACTGTCAGAGTCCATATTCTCCGCGTGTTCGTGTGCTCTGGGCTTGATGCATACTGTGGAGGAGGGTCATTAGCACAGCACATCCTCAGATGCACAAGCTCAAGGACATTTGTTCAAGCTAATCAATGGGTTTTGATAATCTGCATGGATCGTGCAGTGTGCATTTGATACAAGCTAGTCAGCTAGTCAACTAGCAGGAAGGAAGCACAAACTCTACCTTGGGCGTCAGCATCAACCACAGTCGGTGCCAACTGAAACCTGTCAGTTGACCACTGGTCATGTTCACCAAACACAGAAGCAATATGAAGCAATGATATGTTGTATACATGCGTGTGTATGAATATGTATGAATACTATTTCTTGTTGCACTAGCATCCTTGCCTGGCTGATCCTGGCTATACACATAAAGACACATAGATACCGGCTTCAGTTAAAATGTGATTGCAATTGCCACAGAATCATCCGACTCTGGCCTCCTGACGGTACAGGCTCAAAATCACTGGCTCTGTTGGGAGAGTTTGGGTCCCTGTCTTTGAGGAAAAGCTCCTGGGCTCACAAGTTGCGGAAGTCAAAACCAAAACACCGATCCCACTCCTCACCCTGGTCTTAGTGGTAACACTCCCTTCAATCGCAAAACACAATTCTACGTGCGCAAAGAACCTGCCCTGAGTGCACTGCTCTCTGCTTCTTCGATGGACCTCAGGCCCGAAGCACTTAGGCGGCTTGGCTTCGTACCCACCATCTCCACCCCCTGCCCGGCCCCACACACAGCATCTCCCCATGACCCAAGAAGGACACTATCAGCCCCTTTATTTCAGCCAAGACACTAAGAGTACCCAAAGGTGGAGACTCGACTGAGACCTGGGCACGGTGCCAACAGTGGCAAAGGAACAAATGAAGGCGATTAATAATTGAAGAGAATTTAAATTAGCAATACAGATTACCATTAGCGATGGCCTCCACCCCACTAGCGATGGCCTTCACCCTGCTGGCGATGGCCTCCAAGCCTCCAACCTAATAGCAATGGCCTCCACCCTACTAGTGATGACCTCCACCCTAATAGCGATGGCCTCCAACCTAATAGCAATGGCCTAATAATTGGCCTAATAGCGATGAATATATTAATTGAAGTTGTTGCATGTGCCTCAGCCAACCTCCCCACCGTTCCCAACCTCGGTGCCTTTGAAGCTCTGCTTGGCCGCCTCAGCTTCAAAAGCAACCCCCCCTTTCTTTCGCAGCAGGTTTCTTTCCAATGTGTATTTCGATACAAAGAAGCATGGCCGTCTGAAAGCTTGGACAATTGTGCAGGTGTCTCACAGGCCCATTTCCGCTGAGGCAGAAGCGTTTGAAATGGCTTCCAACCGGCGAGCGCTGCACTGGAGGTAGCACATGCCGATTGCCAAAGCTGCAACGACCACAAGGAGAAAAAAGTCCAAACCTGGAAACTGCTTGCAACATCTTTCAACAACATTTAAAGAGTTGAGTTGGATGAACATGAGAGGGAGGAAAAGGTAAGGGCCGCTTTAATAAGAGCCCCCTCTAAAAGGAGCCCTTGTTAAAGGTGCCTCTCCTTTTCATGCTGGTGTCCAGTAAACCTCTCGGTCGCCGTCCCGGCCGTCCCCAAACTGCACATACAAACAAACATCACTTTTAAAGCTCCACAAATTTGTCGGTTCAATCCGCTACAAGTAGTTGCTGGGTTTTGAGCGACTGTTGGCCGCCACTCATTGAACTATGTGCCAATGGCATGTAATTTCATTTGAGGTCATCTAATGAGTGTAAGAGATCAACAAAAATAAAAATATAATCAAACAAATACAGTATTCAACGGGGATGAGTAAAAAAATAGAAAGGGAATCAAACAACATATTCCACAATACTGAGGATGGTTGGGGTAGTAGTAGCAGTAGCAGTAGCAGGACTAGGAGACCAAGGGAAGAGGATGGAAGGAGTAGGGGACTAGGAGAGCGTACCTCCCTAGGAGCTCCTTCCTAGTAGGAGCTATTTCTACTGGTGAACCATTTTTCGAGTAGGGCTACTCGATGACTGGACGGGTACCATCATTGGGTACCTACTTTCCTCCCAGGGAGCTGCCTCTAGTAGAAAGCAATCAAGCCTCTATTTGCGCAAGCAGGGGACCAGGAGACCGAAAGACGAGCGGAGTAGGAGAGCAAGAGACCAGCGGACCAGGAGACAGAAGGACCTGGATAGCAGGGGAACAGCGGACCACAGGACCAGAGGACCAGGAGACCGGAGGACTAGGGGACCAGTGGAGGGACCAGGGGACCAAAGGACCAGGGACCTTATTACCAGAGGACCCGCAGACCACAGGGCCAGGAGAGCAGCTGAAGAGGCCTATCAAGGAATATGTTTTTTGATTCGCTTTTTATTTTTATTTTGATCCCCTTCTTATTGTTTCTTAAATGCGTGTTTTATTTTTTTAATACCTATGCCATCTAATGACATCTAATTGAGTCAGGCAAGTTTGGGCTTCGGAGTTTGGCCGAGCTGCCCTGAAAAGCCAGAAGATTGGGAAGGAGGCGCTGCGGAGGCAACCTTCAAAGTAAACATGCTCGCCAGCCTGTCTGTGTCAAACACATGTACAGTATTTGGTCCAATGGTGCCGTGCTTCAAAGTTCGTGAATCTCACTGAGAACGAGACTGCATCATTTTGGTACACATCCTCAAGCTCGTTTATCCACCCACCCACTGGAACGTGAGTGATAGGGTCACGTTTGGCCAAGAACTTACCAAATTTCCGTGAATCTGACTGGCTGGAACACGAGCAAGAGACTTCTTGCAAGAACTGCTGCAAACTGGCTCTGTCTATGTCAAGACACCAGTCTTCTAATGGCCCAGTACGCACTACCTCAGAGCTTCAGTGTCTGGAGGAGTGTCAGGAATGCTTGCTTTGGCAAAGCCTCTGTCGGCAGAAGCGCGTCAGGTCTCGGTCTAGGCTTTCTTACGACATCCCTCTTTGCCAAGCTGCTAAAAGCACTTGGTTTGGAGCGAACATAATCTTCGCATTGCATATGAGTCCATCCACAGTAGCCATTAAAGGAAGCACCAGCATAGTCGCCTTGTGTGAGCCAATCACGCAAGAGGTGATCAAAAATTGGTTTGAAATGTGTTTCCACGCGATTCTGAGATGCGGTGTTTCAAGCATGATGTGATGTCTATTGAGCCACAAATTGCTAAAAGGATTTAAAAGGGGGTCTCTGATTGTGTCAAACTAGACGGCACCAAATTGTACATAGCGTGTCCAAGAAATTGATAAATGGCTCAATCAAAACAAATCGGCTGAAGGTGGGCCAAATGAAATGCGCTGTTCAAGAAGAGCTGCCACAAAAGGTGGTGTCGAAAACCATACGCATGTTCTTGAAGTGGGCTGCCGTGCACCTGAGTGACAGGGGCCCGCTGGCCTGTTCAGGCATCTATTACACCAATCGCTTTGGCACAAACCGAAAACCACGAGTGTGCTCACGCTCGGCCTACGGCCTACAATGTAGGAAAAAACGGTCCACCACTCACTTGCGACGACACTTTTCACATCACGTGCGACGACACACGCACACAGTTCTCTATATGATCTAAGGGTGGCCAGTTCTCTGCGATCTGACGTTGGCCATCGATGACAAGCTGAAAGTAGTGGGTGGGTGGGTGGGTGGGTGGTGATCTAATGGAATGGTTGGCCCACAGCTGCATCATCACATCTTACGGTAGCAAAATGAACCGCGGGGAGCACGCAAATGCCTACGCACAAGCATCACCAGCATCATCATGGGTGTGGTGGTGTGGTGTGTGTGTGTGTGTCCACACCTGTGCCTAAGGTTTTGAGTCATAAAGAACGCTACTAGGGCCCCTGGTTTTGCAACTAAGGGCTCCTGGTATCGCTACTAACTTACAGTTTCTCAACGCAGAAAAAGAGGCAGGGGGACACAGCATTTCACTGGCACTGTGTCCAACGAAGCTACCAGTGAAATGGGATATCCAGCTTGGCCAGCTGGACGTACCTGGTCAAGTTTTAATCAGGTCTAGGTGTTTCTTGCCGTGTAGCTTCAAAAAACAGTGTTCAAACACCTTCAACTCCGCTGACTCGTCGCCTTTCTGTTTGCACTTTTTTCAGTCAAGGTCTAATGCGTGTAAAGTGGAACTTCGTACTGATACTAGCTCTTGTGAGCAACAATCAAAGTGTGTTTTCGCCACAGGGTCCCACTGAGGGCTGTGGTGTGATCCCACTGAGGGCTGTGGTGTGATCCCCGTCAAGCGGCGCCGCATGTGCACAGACCCAGATCCTGGGGGAATCCTACTGAATGTCCGTTCTGCAATCCGCACGATACCACTGATTCTATGGCGCAGGGCTTACTGTGATCTACATTCTGGATTTGCACCATCATGGAAACATGCGTCTAAGTATTCACAGGCGGGTTTTTGCACTGTGCTTTTGTTACGTGTGTTTTTCATGCTCTTCGGTTCTTTCTCCTTTTGTTGCTTTTTGTTTCTTGGGGCCTTTCTTTAGGTTCCTGGTGTCTTTCAGACAAGGGGTGCGCCGGCCCAAATCGGCTTTACTTGAATGCCAATGATGGCAAGGCCTACGGGCCACCCAAACCCACCCTCCCCCCTACCTCCCTGCCCCTGGGCCTCGGTTGCTATCCCACCCATTATTCGGGAAACGGACGGAAACCGCACTCAACACACTTGTGTGTTGGTGCCTTTCCTTCTGTTTCTCCTACTCTATTGCTAGCTACCCGGGCGGTTTAAGACAAAATGTCCCGCTCGCGTTCTACTTTCATTAACTAAATGGGCCTCGTAACTACACCTATATTTCCTTCTTGCCCTCTTAGTCTGCTTTTGTTTTGTTTGCTTTTTCTGTCTTTCTAAGGCTTTTTAGGTTGCTAGTAGTCTTCACAAAAAGCGCCAATATTGGAGCTATGTGCACAAAGTTTTGCGACCGGCGGACGCCGACGACGCTACTAGGGGCTTCTGGCCTCGCTACCAGGAGCTAGGACGGTACTACCAGGACCTCTGACCTTTCTACAGGGTGTAAGGACGCTACTAGCGACTCCTGGCCACGCTACTAAACTGCAAGCAAGGGTCAGTGCGCCGAGTACGGCTTCGTGTGTGTGTCCACACCTGTGCCTAAGGTTTTGAGTCATAAAGAACGCTACTAGGGCCCCTGGTTTTGCTACTAAGGGCTCCTGGTATCGCTACTAACTTACAGTTTCTCAACGCAGAAAAAGAGGCAGGGGGACACAGCATTTCACTGGGACTGTGTCCAACGAAGCTACCAGTGAAATGGGATATCCAGCTTGGCCAGCTGGACGTACCTGCTCAAGTTTTAATCATGTCTGTCTAGGTGCTTCTTGCCGTGTAGCTTCAAAAAACAGTGTTCAAACACCTTCAACTCCGCTGTCTCGTCGCCTTTCTGTGTGCACTTGTTCAGTCAAGGTCTAATGCGTGCAAAGTGGAACTTCGTACTGATACTAGCTCTTGCGAGCAACAATCAAAGTGTGTGCTAGTACACAGTACGGGCAAATCGGCGTCACAAGCGACGAGAAAATCTACGTCACAAGCGACGCTATTTTCGGCGTCATAAGCGAGAGCCTCACCGGAAAAGATGCTAGCAAAGTGAAAGTGGGACATAAAAGCATTGCTGAAGTTGCATAGACTCAAATCACCCATGAGCAAATCCAGAAATGCGTGTCTAAGGAAGATCGTAACTGTTTTACCAAAATAGCTGACCGTCTCTATTTTTGAGGTGCCCAAACCGTAGAACCATTCCCAAACGGAAAAGATCGAGAGCAAATTTCTCCTCTCAAATCTTAGTGGCCTGTGCAGACTTTCCACACATTTGAAGAATCCTTCTCTTCTTACACTCCAGGCAAAGGGACAAATGATTCCAGTGAACAATGCGCATTATAGTTTGGTATCTGTCTCTGTTCTTCTCTCTGGCTGGATTTGTTTATGAGCATTTCTTTGCACAAGGCACACGGACTGCCATGTCAATGCAAATGTGGCCGCAGAATAAATGTACATAAATTGAAACATATCTATACTGTAGAAATACAAATGTTACTGAATATTCATGAGCTGTGTCATTACCAAACTCAAATACACTACTGTATCTGTTATGAGGGGGCCCTATCTCGCTTAGACTACTAGGAGGTCATGTCACAGTATCTCATTCAAACTACTTTAGTGTCATCAAAGCATATCGTCTATGAGTGGGTGCCCCTATCTTGTTCGCCAGCAAAAACTGATGTTGGACAAACAAATAGTCAAATAGAGCATGCCATAGACTGCTTTAGTAAAAAATCTCTAGTTAAAAATTAACACACGTCTTCCAAGTTGTTGCTCACATTGTTAATTACAATTGAAATCAATTGAACGTATACGAAACATTACTTGACCTCCGTCATTCATTTGCTTTCATCACTTCAAACATATGCAGGCGGTTGAAAGTTTACAGTTGAAAGGTAGAAGTCCATTCATGAAAAGGCTGATCTGGGAAATCAATACTCGAACACTCAAGCAACAAAAATCGCTAGCAAATTCATCTCCAAGATGCGTGTTGCATTTGGGCCAGGGACAATCTGAACAATAATTATGGGACCGGGAGTTGTTCTAAGTTCCTTTCCCGAATGCTATTCTTTCCCTACCTCTTTGTGAACCTTTCGTCATCTGCTTTTGTGGACACTGTAGGCACTGTGGGCATTTACTCTTCGCTGACCTTTTGCCACTTTCAAGTGAATCTTCCTGTGTCATGTCCATCCCCACCCTGGAACACTCCACTATCTTCGGTACGAGCATGGTGGCTAAGTCACATCAATCGGATTATGTCACATCATCCCAATGGTACGGCCTGAAAAGTTGGAAGTCACATCAGGGGCCCGAAAGTCACATCAGAAAATGGACTTCTGCATGGCACAGCCACTAACAGCTACCATGAGAAGTTTTGTATGAACAACAGCAAACATTGCACACAACGGTAAATCCTGACACATTCTGACTTGTTCGAATGAAATTGGAAGGCAAATCACATTGGCACAGCCAGTATTGGACCTTTCCACATATTTTTTGGAAAAAACGTAGCCCCTATTGGCACAAGCACAAGAAGATGCTCATGATTTTCCAAGGTAAGATCTAAAACCCAATGGCACGCCAGCAGACAACCACTTATCTTAGTATAGATCACAATCCGCCTTGGACAACTTCTGTGCAGCGATGGCACCACCGTTCGTTCAAGGTGAAGAAAGAGTTGGGCACGCCCCAAAGATCCGGTTCGGGGTGATCGCCAATCTCCGGCTCCTCCCCGGCGGGGAAGAACCAGGTGCGGAGCCGCTTGTTCACCTAGGCAGGAGGTGAGCACCGCACCCCATGCCAACCCGACTCTACATACATCATCCTCCATCTGCTTCCACAACAATCTCCAATATACAGTGCATATATATATATATATACAGTATATGCATATACAATCATATACAGTATATACACCACACACGGTATAGTAAAATATATATAGTAGTATCTATGGTGCAGTGGCTAAAGGCATCCAGGCAGCAATTGGATCCCACTCTGCAATGAAGGTACCACCTTTCAAGCTGCTTTCCAAACCAACATACACACTTTCACTGTCTGCTGAAAACACATAAGAAGATGCATCATTGCAACCTACGTTTTTCGTTCGTGTCACGATGATGGGATGGGGTGCATGCTGCCGCAAAGAGCAGGAAGCAGCAGTTGACATCATCTCTGGCATTGCTGGAGAGATGTGTTGTTTGGATCATGTGGACGAGGGAATTTAACCGTTTCAAATCACCACCCGTACTAAAATGCATTGCTTGGAATCTGCAGCGGCAACTGTTGAAAGAACCGCCTCCTGCTCGATTGAAGGCCGGGCCAAAGGAGCCTTTCGGAAGCTTCTGTCCACACCCTTGATTGTCATACTGTTGGGGAGCTTTCACCTCGGAGGCGTTCTTCTGGGCACCACTACGTCAGGGAAGTGGGTGTGGGTCAACACCCTGGGACCCTGGTTGACTCCCGAACGATACTCGCGTTCGATGTCCTTGCATCACCCTGAACAGCCCTTCAGCAAAAACGTGTGCTGGGTGTTTGGAACATATGAACAAAGCAAAGGAAAAAGGTTTGCGTCCAGTTCAACTTGTCCCGGAAATAATACACAAAAAAACACTATATAATAACTTTATAACCACCAACAACACCCCAAGCAAAAAAGAAAAGGACCAACACCATCCAATAGAAAATATCACACCAACCTGGTGCACCCGTGCAGAAGGATGCCAGTGAGTTCCACACTATTGACAGTTTATATAAACATGTATTCCATTATATTCCTTCGTGGAGTCGTCGACAAAGTTGAAACAACCAGCATGTTTGAGAAGAGAATGGGATTGAATAGACTCCGCACCAGGGATGTCAACCTAGAACAGTCTTTTGTACTCACACGCGCTCAACTCCGCAGCGTACACACTCCTTGGTGATTTAGGGGCTAGGTGCATTTGGACCAAATAACTGAAACAAAGCGGACACAAACACAGGCTTGTGCAAAGATATATAGGTAACACACAGTATTTCGCAGGCCTACGGAAAGGAACTATCGGCAGTCAACAAGAAACCTCCATGAACTCCTTACGGACGTTAGATATAGAGCTGCCATTCACGCTCGCGTATGCTCGTTCCAGCTAAGCATGATAATTCTGAGCAAAAAAACGCTATAGACTATATGACTATAGAAGTTCTAGAATCTAGAAGCAATATAACCAGGGCACGGAACCATTCCTCCCGGTACAGATTCCCACAAGCAAAGGAGAAAGCAAATGTCAACGTGCGCACACACATGCACATACATGCCAAGGAGCCCAACAGTTCTTAGCCTTCTGGTTGCCGTCTGTGCCAGCTGCCCAGCCCTGGCCAACGAAGTCAATGCCTTCATTTACGGCTCGCCTTGGTCACAAAAGGTGAAACAGTCACAAAGTCATAGATTCAAATAACTACACGAACAAAAACGACTTCACCAGCCAATCAAACCATCAAAACCTGCCTGCTGCCTGCCAGTGACAGGCTGCAAACATTATCCGAGCTCCTACAGTAAGTCTTCAAGCACAGCCCAATGCAGAATCAGTTACTGGTCGCAGCTTTCACGCGTGTGCAGAGTTGTGGTAGCCTTAGAATAACAAGCATTTCGAGCCACTTCCAACCCTCCCGAGGTGAATGAAGATTGTGCATCGATATTGTTGTTACCATCGTGCCCTTGCAACGAAGTTTGCACCGTTGAGTATATAAAGAGGTCAGCACAATTTGAACTGCCTTTGGGATGCTTGAGTTGCGATCCACTGAGTGTGGTGGCATGCTCTTCAACTGCTGATGAATGTGGTTTTCTGGATTAGGTCAAAGTTGCCTTAGACCGGGCACAAACACATCAAATCACAAATATTTTAAGGGGAAGCTTAGCTTCGCAAACTAAATGATAAGTCTTCAAGTCGTGTGTGTGTGTGTATGGGCAGACATGGCAGACCCGAGCCGGAGCGAAACTACATCTTATCCAGCACTTGATGAGGTTCCGCAGGGTTCACCCATACCTGCCATTGCTCGGTTGCAAGCATGTTACAATGTCTCCCACTACCCCCGACTAATTACTGCAAAGATTTGGTGTGCTGCATCACGGCAGCAGCCTCGGGATTATGAGAAAAAAACTGCATGCGGCCAAAAGTCGTAGTCCAGCATATGAATCGACTCCTGGGTGACACACGACTGCCGCGGGCCTCTGTCCTTCAACACCTAGCAAGAGTGATGCTCCTGGTCTCCTCATATTGCCTCCCTCCGTCTTATGTGTAAATCCTTGTGCATCTGGTTTGTCAGGCCCAACCATGTTGGCTTGAGAGGAGTTTGTCGGTGTTCACACTTTGATTCCTGGTCTCGGGCATCCTCCTGACACCAGACTGACTTCCAAAGTGAAGCCAGTGAAGCCACAAAAACAAGGCGACGGATCCCCAAATCAGTTACTGTAACAAGTCTCACCTGAAATCCAAGTAGCCTAATTGCATCTATTTGCCTTCAAACGCCAAGGATCTAGAATGTCGAACTCTCCCCAACGTGGCCATGAGTGCTGCGCATCATCTCCAAACATCCAAAAGGCCGGCCAAGCTCCGCAAGCTGTTGGAACATGGTCCAGTTTCAATACAAACAGGCCACCATTGTAGCCTCAAAGGTCCAGAGCTGGTACGAACGCTTGAAAACCCTGTTGTCCATACGCAGGTCCGGATTACCGAGCATATGGTAGTCTTCGAATGTCCACATGATGCTATTTGTTCCTAGTAGTAAGGCCAGGAGCCCCTAGCGTCCTTGCTCCTAGTAGCGCATTGAATGAACTCCAAGCAGCTTTTCTTGGATTCGATTCTCACCGCAGGTCGCCCAGCCTTTCCTTCGAGCACTGTGGTGTTGTCGACCATGACAAGGATTTTATCCTTGGTGTCGGCTATAAACCATCATGGCTCATGGCATCTCATGACTCCTTTGTGCGGAAAGCTCCTTGCTTTATTCAGCACTGGACCTACATATCACTCGCTCAAAATAGAAGTGTTGGCAAAAAGCTGCAGCTATCAATGTCTCCGCATACAAAACGACAACTGTGCCGCATTCAAGAACAGGGACCGGAAGTCACTACTGTAAAGCAGGCTTACCTGGCATCTCCGAAGGAAAAGAATAAGAATGCAATTCTCCTCCAAGTAGCAGAGGTGCTGGAAATCAGCTTCTTGTCCTGCGCTTCCCAGTACGGCACAAAGTCCACCTAAGTAGCCCCTCCCATACACGCCCTCGAGAGCCGTCACAGGATAAGCTAAGTGCTCAAGAGGCATTGCCCAGCTAACGCGTTTTAACAGCGCACGATTGCATCACAGTTATGGGAACCCCGGCAGTGCCATGCGTGGGATCAGGTCCACTGTAAAAATTCCATGAGTCAAAGAAGTTCTGCCCCACAAGGCTCTCCACCTTGTGGTACCTGTCAGGTCATGCAACGCTGATGTTTCTGCACGTGTCATCGCTCGATCTCTATCTTGCTTCCTTGTCTTTCACACGCCCGAACTGAACTACCTCCTCGACTCCTCGACGAAAAAAACAGGTTTCTTGAGCATGACATGCCGGAGCCAAATTGTTTGAACTTCTGGCTCTTTTCAGGTCAGAGGATAAGAAATGAAGGCTTGCACAGTTTTAGCTTCGCTTGCAACAACAGCCCGTGGATATGGAGGTTTTGGATCATTACTTGTGATTCCAGTATCTCATTAGCATAGAGCCGAGGTGGTTTTGCTGGCAATATTTTCTTGCTTGTGTCAGAAAACAGCAGCCGGCCTGTCAAGGGCTGCAAAGCCGATACGTAGAAAAAGGAAGCAAACTGGCCAGGCTGATTCGGATTTCAGGAGTGCAAAGCGAATTGCAAAGCGCCAGCCACATCTGAAAAGTAAGTTACTGTTTACAAATACAATTGACAAAACCATGCATGTGGACTGCTTTGCCATTCAAGTTTCCGCAAGTTTCTGCTGTTCAGATTGGCAGTCAGCACCCAGAGGGCACGAAAGAGGCCTGCTAAGCGAACCATCGTGCTCCCTGCTCCGATGCCCTTGGGTTCCTTTTCAATGCATTTGGTCTTTGCCAAATGATCTGAGCTTGGGCCAGAAAAAGTGCACACCGGTGGTCGTGAAGCTTCCAAACACGACTGGCAAAAGGCAAGGCTACTCAGGCCCCACAGCATATTTCGTATCCGGAAAATAAGAAAGTATGACACACCATTGATTTCTGCCTACTTCGGCACCAAGAACCAGTGACTTGAAGCTGCAGTACCGGTCCTTTTTGGCGACACCGAAGGCTAAGCTTGCGGTCACAATTGAGTGCTATAAGTTGAAGTGTCTTCATATAGACTCGTCGTTTGCTTTCTAAGAGTCATAAATACAGAAAAAAATCCAAACCCGCGTTGTGACATGCGTGAGGATCGGCATGTTGAGAAACATGATCATTTCAAACAATTGCTTCGCCGGGATTGGCGGGTCCATACTAGTGAACAGGAGCAAAACCAACCTAGAGTCTTACAAAAGGTGACACTAGGTTCTTTGAGATCGCTACTAGGAACAAGGACGCTACTAGGGGCTCCTGGCATCGCTACTAGGAACAACGACGCTACTAGGTGCTCAATTAGCGTTTTTTACTGATGTAAGTTGTACTGTAAGGTGTTATCCTTTTATTGGTGCCTACGCCAAGCCTACTTTCTGCCTACGCACACACAGTTTTGGCCTACGCGCAGGTCGAAGTTAGGATAGGTTGCCTACGCGGCCTACGCGCGTGGAGTTTTTGTTAATCACTGAATGGTTGTGCCTACGCGGCTACAGGTTTGGAAGCTTTTTGTTGTTTTCGTCTATTGTTTTGCAAGGCGTTGGGTTCCTTCTTAGCCATGGCGAAAGGCCTACTAATGACAAGGGCAGGCCATATGGACGAGGAAGAGTTCCAAACCTTCACTTAGCCATGTCTGGGGCAAAGTCTTCCCGCACCAGTTTTCGCCTACGCCTACCCTACTTTTTGCCTACGCGGTGCCTATGCCTACTGCATGTTGGTTTTGCTAATATCTTGCCTACTCCTATCCAGGTAGGATTTGAAATATTAAGGCGTCATACTTATTAAACTCTTCCTGTATGAATCTTCTTGACTGGGAAATGCGTCGCCTACGCGGCTTCTTGGACAAAAAAATGAAAAACATGCCTACGCCAGCCTACGCCCCCAAGCAGAATGCCTACATCCAACCATTTACAGGTTAACCCGTATATAAATCTATACATCTACTTTAAAAAACTCTGCTCAATTGTGCTGACCACATCCGATGTTTGAGAGCAGCGCTTGAAACCGGGAAAACGAACAATTGCGGAAACAAACAATCACTGAATCACTGCACCAAAGGTAGCAGGTCATGAAGTCACTTGAAACAGTTGTCCAAACTACGAGCGCTTTGAAATCGCAACATGGGCCGAAATAGCAAGCAATTGGGTTCATTGGTGCTTTCCTTTTAAAATCTTTTAAAGCAGTCCAGGGCTTCGAATGTATGAGTCATGTGTTTACACTCCTTTCAAAGCACTCAGCGCAAGGCCTTAGCAAGGTACCAGTCAACGATCCGCTTTGCAGCTTTATCGCTGTAGATCCACGAACCCCTTGGGTGTTCGAGCATGGTGACTGGTTTCCAAACATTTCTAGATTCTAGGGCTGCAGCCATTACAGGGAGCGAGCGATCCCGACAAGAGGCTATACAGTATATCCCGACAACGAATTCACGAAAAGTAAGCTAATGCAAAGCACTATGTCACTACGCTGACTGCAAATGCGGCAGCAATGCGAAACCTGCCATTGCCCCTCGCCTTTGCTGGGCAGTTTACCCAGCGGCTGCATGCTACCCGGCCACCCAGTCCACTCCATCCTCTGCTTGCACATCCGAATTAAATCCATTGGGATTCGCCAATTGATTCATTCCGAAGCAACAGGCTCCCAGTAATCCATTGCTCTAATTTCGACCAGCCTCTGCCCTTTGGCCACACCAGTAGGCAGCGTCAGTATCCAGGACCCTAGTCACTAGTCTCAGGCTTGTAGCCAGCAACCATTTGCTTTGAACAAGTCACCTTAATCAACACCTATATTGCTTTGCTATGCTTTGCTCATGAAAACCGTTTACAGTCCAGTCACGCCCAGCCCCGTGCGTTCAATTCTCGACTCAGCATCAGCAAGCGATTTCGCGAGAGCAGTGTCTGCCTTGGAACCTCAATGTGGCGAATGGCACCAAACGCAAATATCACACCAAACGAAATTGGAGGCCATCGCTAGTAGGTGCCAAGGATTCCAATTGCTCCTTGAGGGAGTTATGGGGGGCCGCTGATGCTGAGCCTCCACGCTCATTCATGGCCTGGCTTGCAGGTCTTCACGACAGCAACCATTCAAGCAGCCCAAACAAGCCATGAGGATGTGGGACGTGGCAGCTTCTTTCCGCTTAATAACTTGAAGGAATTGCAACGATCTGAATCTATACAACAACTACAAGTCTTGTCATTGGAAACATATCCTCCAAGAGCTTCTTCGTACTTGACCGCACGACCTCAAACAATGAAAACAGGCCAGGCTCCGCCTGTAGACATACGTAACTGGAGGTAACTGCTGCGTTGTGACAACTCGTTGGCTGCTGTTTGACGCGGCGTGAGTCACCATGCGACCGGATCCCGTGAATGCCTCACAGGTACGGGTGCAAGGAGGGCACAAAAACAAGACCAGCCGATGGACAAGCAACGGTGGGTGGGAGGGTGGGATTTCAGAAACTAAGACGAAGTGGTTTTTTGGTGTAAATGTAAAAGGCACCTGCAGCAAGCAGGCATAGCACCACCTGCCTGCAGTGCTAGTTACAGTATATAGCTATATACGCAGGCCCAGTTTAAAGTGTTTACAGTGGTTCTTGAACACCGCATCCTGGCGGTGTCACACCAAGCAGCATCATGAATATCAACCGAGGAGTACAACAACCCCAGTAATTGTCACCAACTTCTGACTCTGTGCGAGTCTGAGCACAAACACTTCTTTGGATGTGATGTTCCATGATTTTGGCTGTGATTCAGGCTTGGAGCAACAGCGCTCATTGCAGGAACACAAGCAGTAGCAGCACCCCCAGCTGCCTGCGCCCGTCCAGAACCCGAAGAAACCTGGCACGGCTGGTCTGAACTCTGAGAGAAACTCTAAGTTGTTGTGTGAGCTACTGCGGTAGGTGATTCAGGCGAGAACAAATTATATAGGCTCTGGCTGGCGCTAACCCATCAAAAGCTCAGAGGTTAGATTCTTCACCCCCCCCAAAAAAGTGCATCAGAAGAAACTCAGATCTGCTCTGCAAACTCACACCTGGTGGCCCAAGGAAGCGGAGTTCTGCCGGCTACCATCAGGCTGTGGCGCAGGCAATGGGCCAGAGAGCTCGCGGCTCTGAGCCATTGCAATCCTGAGAAGGTTTCCAATACAACAGGTTTTCCTGCAGAACCATTTCTGAGTGGTTTAAGGTTGTTTTCCGTCTGCTAAGCCATCATGCATATATCATACATTGCGCATAGAGAGAGAGAGAGAGATGTGACTGTCTCTGATTCACCCAAACGACAACAATTCTATTTTTCATCTTTTGAAAGTTCTTCTGCATGCACCAAACCCTTTCCACAGCTCAGGCCAGAACATGCCGGGACTGTAGATCCCTGGCTGCGGAACTTAGTTGTCCATACAGGTGGGCAGTGCTTGACACGAGCATTGCCATTGCGAGTGCAGTGTCTACTTTTGGACTTCATTGGACTTCCTGTGTCCTCCAACTGCAACACATCTGCTCACAAAATTACCACGCTAGGCCGGCTGCTAGCACTTCTGGTGTGGTTTGTCTGTCCTCTAATCAGTTGTTGCATGGATGCAGCCACGGCACCATGGTGTGCCTCTGGTTGTGCCGCTCGTGCCCTCAGCTTGCTTCGACTTTCCTAGCTCTGTTGAAAAACAGACTTTGGTTCACATGCCAAAAAGGCCTGCCTGGCAGTGGTTTTTTGGACTGTTTCCGCCAAACATGAGACATGAGATTGCAATTGCGCGCGCGCACGCGAACACACAGACACAGACACAGACACACACTTAGATGGTTACTCGCAAGAGCTAGAATCAGCTCACGAAGTTCCAGAAATTAGTTACTGACTACCTAGCACTTTAGTTACTGAATGCCTAGCCCTGGACTTGCAAAACGGAATGAATGCTGGGTCG